CATATATATATGAATGCTAAGTAAGTTAAATACCTACATTAATGGCATTATATAATCACAAATCTCCATGGTAAAACATATTACTTTAGAAAAAGTCATCTATATTATGATGATAAATTTATATTACTTATATTTGGTTCCATAGGATGATAACCTAGGGGATTAAAGCATTGGGTTGTGACACAGTAATTGTGAGTTCAATTTCTAGGCTAGGTAGTACATTTAGTCTCAGTGGAAACAAGTCAAGCAATAACTGAGAAGTAATAAATAAGAACACGGCATCTCTAGATATGGATATTGTAACAAAAATAATCTACTCCTTAGATTAAATAAAGGGTTCAGTTAAAATTCCCTGAAGGTTAATGAGATTGACAAATCCCCGAAAAAAACTGGAGGATAAAATGGCCAAAATATTGTGATAACAACACCAAAGATAAGGCTTGATTTGGTTAGATTTTGTTTAATGGCATGTCGACTATAGTAGGTCTTTTTATGCCAACCAGTTGAATAGATATATTATATACACTTTTCTTTTTTCCCTTTTTCCAATAATTGGAGAGGCTCAGTTTTAAATTTGTTTTAAATAGATTGCTTAATCTGTCAATTTGAATCTGTTTAAACCAGTCCTACTTATAACCCATATATAAACAATTTTTAAAAGTATTTAAAAATTCCTATTTCTTTTAGAAATCCTATTATCTGGTCAGGGGCAACATCTTTAAAACAATGTTTTTATATTTGTGACATTGTAGTATTTACTATGTTTAAGCTGATAACTTTTACATTCAATCAGAATGTACCTAACTGTCAATCTATGATTGCAATGAGTGCAAAAGAGTATATATTAAAAAGAAGATAAACCACAAAACAAACCTTGGTTTGAAAAATGTCCTTTTTTTCTTCCCCTTTAGTAATTTTGTATTTTCTTGTCTGTTACTTGGTTGGTGTTCATAAAGTTTGTTATCTGGGAATGTGTCCCATATTGCTTGTCATTTGATTTTTATAAAGTTGTTAATTTTTATTTTAAAATCTATACAATATTTTTATATATATTATATATTTATATAATTACATTTTTTTTTTGTTACAGATCAAATATGGATCTTTCTCATTACTCTTTAAAGCCAAAATAAGAAACGCTATTCATTTCAAAAATATGAGTTTTGTAATTTTACCAGTTTGTTATAAGTCTAAAGAATGTCTACATAGTGATTAGTTTCTTTTCCTTTCAGAGCAACCAGAGAGGATAGGGAGTCTCTCTCTCTCTCTCTCTTTTTTATATATATATATATATATATCACAAACTGCTGCTCTACCAAGCTCTTTTAAGATCAAAGGCCATCCTTATGTTTATTAAAATGGAAGTATCGTCAGGCAATCTCATTTGTCTTTTGTTACAACCACCTGTAGCAGATGATCCTGTGTTATTCAAAACTTTGGATCCATTTGTATAGATTGTTCGATAGCAAAAGTATTTGTCTCCAAATCTATTTTGGTATTCACTTTCATGTGCTGATTATTTTTTAAATTCTCTCAATGTGAGATCTACTTCAGGTTCAGTGGCCATCTAGGGTGGTATATTTGCTATATTGTCAGGGTTTTGATTTATTTGTGTTATGGCTTCTTTATTATGGGAACCAAAAGGAGGAATTGCAGATGCCTTGCTTGTATAAAAGTGAAAATTTTGATTATTTAATATTTTTCCATTGGTTGGGTTATTGGGTTATTTTGAGTTTAATTGCATTTGAAGAGAGATTTTCCTATCTAAGAAACGGGGAAAGTTTGCTAGCCTCTACATACAGACTATATATAAGAGATGTATGCTAAGCATTCAGGTATAGTCTTAGTCCTTGCTTTTGGATAGGTAGCAACTTCTTTAGATAGGATACCCATGCAATTAACTTTTTTATTATACATTTTTTTTGTGTTCAGTTTTTTTTTTTTCTGGATAAAAATTCTATATAACTGAAGTTTTACCTTTTGGTTGGCTCTCCAATCTATCATTGATATGACCTTTAATTAATTTAGGGTTTTTAGGCATTTCTGCCTTAGGTAATCAATATGGGCTATAAAATATCAAAAATAAGCCTGAGGTTGTTGGATAGTTGGAATCTCAGTGTCATTTGCTTTTAGTTGAGGATCTAGATGTAGGGATTACTTATTACAAAAATGCATGCTTACAGTTTTGGTTTTTGAAAATTGGAAACTATTTTCCTTGGTCCATTTTGCAATTCTGTTCAGACAGTTTTGAGTTTGTCTCTCTGTATTTGACATATATGGTGATGAGCAGACAACTGCAAAATCATCTACGAGCATGAATGTTCCCTATATGGAAATGGCTAATTTTAACATTACCATGAATGACAAGAAACTATAAAGATGCCTGAACAAAAAACAATGACTGAAGGTTGTATTGTTTCATGTTCTTCAGATATACAAACCCAATTCAAATTATACTAAAAGTCATGCCATCAACTGAACATTAGAATTAACATTTGAAAATGCATTAAATATATATTTAAGGTACTCAAATATTAATTTCTGTCTGTGCAAGAAATACAAGATATAATAACTAAAACTGACTCTTGTCTGTTAATTTGATTTCTCATTTACTCAGTAAATTAAAGGCAATATAACTATTGCATGATAAAAAATGAATCTTAAATAGAAAGGAATAAATGTTCTACACAGATTAAGTATTGGTTACTACTTTGGTAAAGTTATTCTTATTTTCCAATGAATTTTAAAATTAATATCTTCATTTTAATTGTCTACATCACAAAATTTTCACTTCTTAAACCTTCCCCATATGTTGCATTCAATAACCTAGAGAGAATTTTGAATAAAACTATTTATTTCATCTAAATTAGTATAATGTTCCCATACTTTGCTTTCTTCTTAGGGAACGTCCAAGTATAATCCATGTACTCCTGTACTACCTAGCCCAATGTTTGAACTCATATTTTCCAGGGGAGAAAATGAAATTAGCAATTTATCAATTAAATTATATCCCATCAGACACTTGAACAGTGGCATCACTTTTATTAAAATTTAAGTTATTCTAAGTAGATAGATAGCTTTATATAATTTCAGCTTATATTGTCAAAATTTGCTGTTTTGTTTCATTAATACTGAGGAAATATTCTTTAAAAGAAATACAAAATAGAAAAATAGAAATCACAAAAATGATGTCCCTGCTTAAATAGATCATTATGTTGCAAGATGATGCACATTGAAATATTAGCACAAATATAGAAAGTTGAATCATAGAAAGTTCAACTCTAATTCTGAATGATCCAAGGAGTAATTAGCTAACTTTATCCAATTTCATGCCAGAAATAAAATGAAATAATTTTCTTCCCTACATGGATTTATTAATGTCATCTGGGTTAAAAAAACATTTCTTGATAAACATGGATAAACATACCCACAATAAGACGGAGTGTCAGAAGGACATTTTTTTTCCCCCCATGACACTGTTTTTTAAATACATTCACTCCACAGCAATGTTTATTGTTTCAAATGCAATGATTAGAATTGGAATAAAACTTAAACTTATGAAAGTGAATTTATATATTTTCTTCCTTCTTGAGAATTAACAATAAAAATAATAAACACTATTTATTTTTTGATTGTTTATTTACCCTATTTATTTATTTAATATATTATTTATTGGAATGGTTGGCAAAACATTGTCTAATTGACAATTGATTCAAACTTTATAGAATGATAAATTTTATTTTAATAATTTAGTAAATGTTTATAAATTTATGAAAAAAATAGCTTTCACATTTATTTCTTTTTAAATTGCTAAATTATAAATATTGCATTGCATCATTTCTAATTGTATTAGTTTTTAAAATGTAAATTACTCCTGTAAATAAACAATCTAATAAATAAATAGTGTTTAATATTATTGTTATAAATTCTCAAGAACAAAAAAGTGTATAAATTCACTTTCATCATATGTTTAGGTTTTATTTCAATTGTAATCATCATTTTAAAACAATAAACATTGCCGAAGAGGGAATATAGTTAGAAAAGCATTGTCATGGGAAAAAAACATAATTTTAACACTACATCTTATTGCTGGCACATTTATCCATGTTTGCCCAATTTTCTTTTATATAAAAAATAAGATCAAAGAATTGGTATATTTAAAAGCAAGGTTATATGCAAAATATTCAGAAAATTTTTAATTGTTCTTAAATTTTCATGGTCTAAATGAAAAAGCAATATTTTGAGATACAGAATATAAATATGTTATAGGATTATAATTGCAATTGGTGTTCATCTTGAATTTTGACAATAATTACAAAGTTTAATGACATCTTTATATACAATAACATTCTTTTTCTTTTTGTTTTATTATAAGTACTAATCTGTTTTATGGTTTAATGAGTGCACAAGTATTCTTAGCAAAAAATTGAAAAAATATATAAAAACAGTTTTTATAAACTCTAAAGTAAATGAAAAGTTAAAAAAATGTATTTATTTTGCTTAGTCTAGCCCTTATAAAATAAAAAATTAGAGACTTTATTAGTGCATATTTTTTTGAGACTATCACAAAAGAAAGCATATGAAAAAAAGCAAATAACTTATAACAGTAGATTATAAAAAAAATTTAAAGTATTAATATTGTATTTCAAAAAATATTAATGCTTGAAAATACAATGGGCTTTCATAAAATTTGATATCTGTGACATTTTCAAAAGCTTTGGCATTCAATTGTTTTAACAATTTTTATTTATGAGTGCCATATCTACCATACTTTTGGTATATTGTTGAAGTATGGAAACTAACACTAGTTATATTGCTAACATTTTCTCTTTGACCTTTTAAAGTATATGCAGCATAATTCAGAGCTTTTAGCAGAACAAGTCCCAAATACTAAAAAACTTGAAGTACTCTATTATAAATTTTGGCTATAAAAAATATTTGCTAATGATTATAGGGGAAAAGGATAGACAAAGAAAACAAAAGAATTGGGGACAAGTTACCCTAGCATTATGAAGATCCACACCATACATTTCTAACCGCTTTGCCCTTTCCAAAAAACAGTATTCAGCCTCAGCTGGAGTCTGGCCTCTGTAAAATAATAACAGTAGAGATTTTATTCTTGTAAAAAGATGAAAAAAAGGAAAAACCCAATACTATAATTTATGTAAACATTTAGAAATAAGTTGAAAACACACTATTAAAAATATTTTAGCTAAAAATATTATGAGAATACAGAATATACTCAACTTATAATGTTGGTATGAAACAATTTGTTGAAAAAATTTTCCAGAGTTTACCAAAAATTCACTGGTTTTAGTTTGAATGATAATACTGTTTTGTCAGCACAGAAATATAAAAGCAAAAACAAATCTGGTTATGGTATGACCCAATAAAGCAACCTAAAGAGGTCTTAACTCTTAAACTTTTTGAATTTGGATTGCATGTGTTTCAGAAAAACAAGAAAGAAAGTAGTTAGTACCCACTGTGTTAGACAATGTATAGCATATTACTTCTAAACATGTAAAAATAAATAAAACAAAAAGGTAACATTTGTAAAAATTTTCATAAAATATATATTTTTTAGGAGTGTTCTACTATAAAACATTCAATATTTCTTAAAGTACCATCATCATAATCTGTTAAAGAAGAGAAAGAAAGTAAAGTTAAAAATTAGTGCAGATGCTACTTAATCTGTAGGTCAAGCATACATATAAACACTATATGAAAGTCACAGTTTAGGGAGAAATAGGCTCCAAAAATTTGCCACATTAATGTTCTATGGGATATGGCCTAGTGGATAAAAGTGCTAGTAAAGGTTATCTGGATGCCTGGAAATAATATATGCAAGGCTTTATGCTGGTTTGATGGTAACACACTAAATGCAATATACACAGGTTTAGTGGTCATAGTACCAATTTAATTATATCAGCTTACACAGATTGTTAATGATTATCTATTGTAGTCATAGTAGTAGAATAACACAACTGTGAGAGACCAGGTTGAATAAAGGACAATGTTTTCTTATTGCAAATCATCTTATTTCTGCCAATACTGTGGACTGCAGTATATATTGTACCAAGCTGCTGGATGCTTGAAAAGTATGTAAAAAAACTTGCACATAAATGTTCTCTGCAAAATACTCTCTAAATGCTTCAGTGGTCTTATTTCTATACACTTTTCCATTGCCAAAACCACATCAGCACCAGATGATGCATATAGTCATCTGAGTAGCAATATACATTATATTTGTGTATAAGAGACATGTCTTTGGTTACACTAGCCATGATCCTCTTTAGTCAAGCCACATTGTTTAATATATTACATCAAACCTTGAATCTAGTAGAGTAGAAATGTAGATTTTCTTATTATCATAAAGAAGAATTAACAACCACAAGCTCTAAAACTCTATATGAATATCAGATGTGACAAGTCTAGGAATAAGAATAATACACCCTAGTGACTGAAATAAAAGGTGTTATTCAATGTTCACAGAAGTTTTACAAAATAACAGGCATCTGAGGAAAAACTGGAAAATGAAGTGGATGAAATATGATGATAAAGGCAACAATGACAAGGAAGGATTAATTTGCAATAGTAACAACACCTATCTCAAAATTTAAGATTAAATTCTTTTAATAACACAACTACAAGCAGCTTGATGATTATTTTTATATCATTACACAATTTTAATCATGTTATGTTCTTGAACAGGAAAATGAGTAAGAACAAATATGTTATTAGTTAATCTGTGATTTAACATTTTGTAAATGATTTCAATAAAAAAAAACTTATTGAGAACTAATAAGAGAGATAGAAAATCGAAGACATCTATTAAATCTATTTCAGTTTAATATATTTTATATGTGGACAAGTGCACACACAAACACAGAGAATACAGAAGAAAATTTACACCAGTGCTAAATGTGTATAAAAAGAAAAAAGTTGAAAAAAATATAAGCAGTGAATTGCTGATACCCGTTGAAGAGTGAACAAGCAGATCTGTCTATGAAACTCTGGAGTCAGGATGCTGAAGGTAACATTAATCAGCTAAGAGACAAATTTTACTCACATTAATCCTATATATATATATATATATATATATATATATATATAAAAATTCAATATATCAAAAAAAAATTTTAAATTTTCAATATATTTTTCATACCTTTGGCTTTCATGAAAAAGTATGATATATATATATATATATATATATATATATTAAAATGAAGTATCAGATCCAAAGAGATTCTGTGTGACAAGTTGGGAAGACCAACAATCCACCACAAGCAGGTGATTCATTATAATAATATATCAAAATTCTAAACAATTCCAATTTTTTTCTATTTTATTATCAAATCAAATCTCAAAATACTAGTTTTTCTCTATTTTGTCTCAAAGTAATTTCATCTTTCCAGAGTACCTTATCACTCAAAACCTAGATTATGTCAAGACTTTATACAAATTTTCTGTTTTATTCTAAATAATAGTTATTTATCAATATTATAGATATGTGGTTTAAGTTAGCAATTTATATTAAAAATATAATCATCAGGTATTGAAAATGAAATATTTGGCATGTTACCTGTGCTGTTTGTGATATTCTATCACTTGGCGTTCAAATTCCGCTGTTTGGCTTGGGATGAAGCGGAATTCAGATAAGTAATCTCCTTTGTGTTCATCAGTATTGTAGTCACCCAATTCAGCTAAATAGAAATGGAATAATGAAAATATATATTTCATAAATGTTTAAAATTCAATTACAAAAAATATTTTATGGACATCACAAAAAAAAATAGCATATGGAAAAGGAAAATTATAGAGGATGCTGATCCTTTTTAACAAAAAAAATGCCATCTTTTGTTATTATGTGCATGGTGAGGTTTTATTGAACTTAATTCTTTCACTGATGATATGCACATATCACCTTGTACAAAAAATAGGCATGAAAAATTACATATATTCAAAATTATGACACAAAATTTTATAATAAACTAAAATAGAATATTTTTAAACTCATAAATTAATAGCTTAAATTTCTTATGTAGAAATTTCTCAAGCTAATATTATGCATAGACTATTTAAGTTATCAGTTTATATTAGGAATGTTACATTATTTAATAAAAATGTTATTTAAGATAATAAAAAAAACTTCAAACTAAAGTTCTATTCAAAGTAATCAGCTTTTGATTCCTTGTAAACAACAGAGGAGAATTGCTTTGAGCAACTCCTAGCTGTGTATCAAATAGTTGCTTGTAATAAGAGAGAAAAATGTCTTTGATTAAAATTTAATAAAATAGTTACCTTCAGATTATGTCAAAGACACAAATAACTTCAATAATACTCACACTGAATAGCATAACTAGATAACAATGCTGAAGTAGAATGGGGACAAACCAAACGGCCTTCCACAAGATCTTTTTTCAACTGAAGGAAAAAATGGTATCTGCAATATAAAAAAAATCAATATCTTGAGTAAAGTTGAGAAAATATATATAAAATGTATTATCTTTTTCCAATATCTTTGTCTTATACTGTTTATGCATTGAAAAATGATTCCCACTTTGCCTCAAAAGTAACATTATAAATATGTTCTGATATATAATCAGGATATATTTCTGTATTTCTAATATTACATTTGAGGCAAAGTGGAGACCATTTTTCAATACATAAATGATATGAGAGTTTAAGTTTAGAACTAATGAAAATTTAGACTATTTTCAAAATATTTTACTCACTTCAATAAGTAATAATTACCAACAAAATGAATTATCATACTTGAATACAGTAGTTCTTAGTAAAACAAGAGGCATAAATTACTTAAGATATGAAAATCAAGCTATACCTAGTATTTAAGGTTACCATAATAATAATAAAAAATCTCATATAAAAATTATTTGTTCAATGTTGTAATCAACAAAAAATCTAAAAACTTAATCTCTTACTCTTTTATGTAATTCTTTTTTATTTAAAATAATTGTAGAAATTTTTCACAAAAGTTATGATGTCTTCTAGTCTGTGACATTGATGTTCCACTTTTGTACCAAGTGACAACTGACTTATAGCAAGTTCATTTTACTTATATCACTATATCTTCTGGAAACAAAGAGGTTTTATACCCTTCATTGATCTATGACTTCTTCAAACAATAGTACAAGATTTTATCTCTCTCTTGAGGTGTGTACCTGGTTCTTTTTATTAGAGATCTAGGTCTTCCAACTCCATGTTGGGTTCATGCAAACTATCCTCCATAGTTTCTTTACTACTACGTACACTTTCTCCATCAGAAGCACTCATGCCTTCCTCTATTCAAGGTGCCTCCTCTTCCTTCTTAATCGTCAATTCTAGTTATTATTTAATCAGAATGAGCCAATGAATTCTGTCCATTTGTTGCTATTATAGCCATATCATGACCTTTTTGTGTAATAAAGTTAGCTTTTTCAGGACTTGATTCTCTGTCTTTTTTGTACCACATTTTTTTCATTTATTAAATAGTCATTGTTATAGACAATCTAATTTGTCTTCCTATCAATGCAGACAGACTTTGCATTCTACCAGCATGTGGAGTAGTTCTATAACTCAATAATAGTTTTGGTAGGTAACTATGTATGGTGTCCCTGTATGGGAAAAATGCCTTCAGCCTAATTTTCACCATCTGCACTTTTGCCATTCCATTCACTTGTGGATGGTATGGTGGTGTTTTATAAGGGAGGCATCCAATTTGTTTTAATCACGAACACAAAGTTTCATCACAAAATACTGATGCATTATCAAAGACTCACATTTTTCATACCCCATTTCTGGAAAATATTACTTGTAATATTTGCTTTACTATAGCTGCCTTCCTATCCTGAACTCAAACTACTTCATATCCAGAGAATGAGTTGAACAAAATGAAAAATAGTCCTATGCTTTTAACATGTGCATGATCCATATGAACATGGGCCTATGGCTGTTTTTCTTTAGGCCATGAATGTATCTTGGTCTCGCAAACAGTTTTTTATTTCCCTATTTTCCTACATTGGTGTAGATACCTCTGCTATTTTCTTTATCAAATTTGTGTCTGGACAACTCCCTTTTTGAAAATCTGATATTCCAGATATGTTATTGTGTCACAATTTAACACACATTTATCCTTGTCTATGGTCATCCCAGTATTTTTTAATTTGTTTAAAACATAATCTGTTTTTTGTTTTAGCTCTTCTCTACTGGTAGCAGTAGAGAAGAGCTAAAGAGATGTTAAGAATATGATTATCTTGGTAGATAATCATATTCTTAACATCAGCTAGTACATTTTCAATGGCTCCTTGAAAAATAGCATTTACATCTCAGTAAGCCTATTGGAGAGTTAATCATAGTGACCTCTTTAAATTTTTCATCAAGTTTATCTGGTTATAGCCAGATTTGAGGTCAAATTTAGCAAAATATTTAATTCGCAACAACTCATGAACAGCAGTTTCAATGTTAGGAACAGGGAACGTGTTTGGGCCATATTTTGTGGTTTACTCTTATTTTGTAATCTGCACATATCCTTAAATCTCCATCTGGTTTTTGCAAAAAAAAAAAATAATGAGTGAGGCCTAATTACTACCACCAGGTAGCATACTCTAAAATTTCCTGTTCCACTATTGTTTTTAGTTTAACAACTACTAAAGGTAGCATATGAATGGGCAAAATCTGCAAGACTCAAAGTAAGAGGTGTGACTATTTTCTTTTAACCGAACGCCCACTTTTTATCCTTTTAACATCTTCATGTCATTACTTTCTAACTTCACACTGTTGTTAATTAATTTGGTTGTATCCACTTTGAAAACATCTAATCCCATGAGTCCACGGCTGTTTTTATATTTTACTACCATGATGGGAATAATATCAAAATGAGTGTTGATTTCAAAAGATACATTTTTTATTATCATAAAGAAGAAATAACAACTACAAGTTCTAAAACTCTATAAGAATACCAGATGTAACAAGTCTAGGAATGAGAATAATACACCCTAGTGGCTGAAATAAAAGGTTCAATGTTCACAGAAGTTTTACAAAATAACAGGCATTTGAGGAAGGATAGCAAAACATTGAAGCTATGTTTGCACAAAGTCTGGCTCATCTAACAGTGTTAGAAATCCTATCAGTGATGCCATATTGTGATGTCTTCTAGTCTGTGACATAGACGTCCCACCTCTGTACTGAGTGAGGACTGACTTATAGTAGTCGCTCAACTCTATGTAAAATAGGGCAAGTCCATTTTGCCTATGTCACTACAGTTGTTATTTCTTTAAAATAAAACATATGATAAATCTGAATAGATCTACATCAATCCAGTGCTTGTTGGTGGTAGCAAATAAGATGCTTAGAAACTTTTGACAAAAGTTAAAGTTTGAAATGAACATATATTATTTTATATATTTTTATATTCATAAAATATATTGAAAAAGCTGTATGTATGATAAAGAAAGAAAAAATGTAATAACTGATATTATAAGTGTTGCTGCTTAGATTAATTTTTAAAAAAATAGAGAATCTAGTGAGGGAGGCAATATAAGGGATCATCTAAAATATGATGACAAGATCAAAGGCATGAAAGAGATTAAATTGTCTAAATTTCCTCTGTTGTAAATAATATAGATAAGCCTTAAAATAAATTTTCTATGATTAGAAAGTTAAATTATACTTAAAAAATAATAACTTGCTAGCTAGTTTTTTTAAAATACAAAACACATCCTGTAAGATACATGTATATAACTATTAAAGTCAACTATTAAAAGATACATGAGGATGATGTTTTGGTTTTATAGTAGATTCCCAATATATCAGACATATATAATTCTGACATAAAGCTTTCTTTTATTTTATTCTTCTTTCTTTTTGGCCTTATTACACCCTTGATAATAAATTGTTTTTTATCAAATTACACTTTCTTGATATAATATCTCATTTTTAAATCACTACAATTGGTCAAACAGAAAATTCTAAATATTTCAGTTTAAGAAATTAGATTTTGATAGACATAATTAATTTAGTTTTTCTTTACTTTTTAAGTAGGTGGGAGTAAAATATGCAATAATTTTCCTTTATAAAAATAAATGATTATTTCCATGTTTTCATCTAGTTTTCATCCAATATACATCTCCATGTTTTATAAGTACACATCCAGACTGAAAGAAAAAGAAATATCATAAAACTGTCTAATGAGAAAAGATTAAGGAAAATATGTACTAAGACAAAGAATTTATATTATTAGCATTTCAATAATGGCATGCATACTAAAATCAATTATAAAATAGATGTAATGAATATGCATACACCTGGGTTCCCCTTCACTGTAATATGATTGGCTGGTGTCAGCCATAAATAGATTGATGTAGAGGTACAGGACGACGCCTATTGGTACACCTATAGTCTTCACCTATTGCCTAGGTTTATTGCCTACCAGTTACAGTAGTCCAAAACCACTTTGCTACTTCGAACAAATATATCCCTTTCCGGGACATATAAAAAATTTTATTAAAATAATTTAAAAAATTATGAGCCATTAAGTGCTAACTATTAATAGACTTCTCTATCCTTTACTATTATCATTACATTTACTTCTGTTACTAACAAATATAAAAGAGTAAGAAAATTTTTTTATTTTAAATTTCTTATTTTAATCTGAATGAACTGATTTTTGTATATCATATAGGATAATCATGTTATATTTTGCCATGTTGCTAAATTTGCCAGACTTATCACCTGCTTAGTGAAATGACTGTGGAATCTTGGCTGCTGACAGCCAAACTAATGCTGAATACCGTTTCCTTCAATTGACTGATCAATTCTGGGCTGCTACCTAAACAAATAGTTTTTTTCTTTTCTTTATCATTATTTTGATTTCCTCTTCTCATCCATCAGTGTTTCTGGCTAGTTTGCCTTCTGCGATCAGAACAACTGAACCAAAACACATATATCCTTGTCTTTTTCAACCAAAATCTAATCAGTGCTTTCTCTCAAGACTTTATTCATCACCATCCTATTAAACACTATTACAGTCCCGAAAAATCAAATTGAAAAATGAAATTATCATAAATTTTAAAAAATATTTAATGAAATTAATATGCTTTAAATTAATTTTTCTATACTCATGTCTTCACCTTGTTATAATAATTATAACGTTTTAGCCACTGTACCCTCCAGCCTTCTTCGGGTGTTTGTTGTACTTGATAGCCTGGAATTTGGAAGTGAACCATTTATTAAATGAAGATGGATAAATTGTTCTCATTATTCTGCTGTCTATGCCAGAGGATATTTCATATATATTTGTGTTTGTGATATTGGCTCTTCTACTGAACCATATGACTTTTTGCCCCAACCTGACCCAGGCAAGTAGATCCACTTAACCAATGCTTTTATCTTCTGGACCATGCATTCCATAGAACAATTAAGTAATGGAAACTTGAAGCCTTAAACATGATACTGCTTGCCTGCCTCTTCAACTAAATCAGAGTATAACTTTACACTACCTGAAATATAATTATATGATGACAGCATTTTTTCTTTCTAAATATGATGTTCATTTCTATGCTTGGCCTACTGAGGAGGTTAGAGTCTAGCATGTGCAGTGATACTTTCTATTCCTTTGTCATCCAGTAATGTTCTCCAATATTCTGACTTCTTTCCACAGAGGTTGATAATTACTTTTTTCCATCCTAATGTCCTAAACCCACACTCATTACTTATTAATACATGCCAGAAAGTCAATTTATCAATGTGAACCATATTGAAGATGTCTTAATTCACATGGTTCACTAATAATTCTGGTGAGGTCAGAGTATGAAGGTATCATCTGTGTATCTCAGTCACATAGTTGGCTTTAGTGGTAGTGTTCCTAAAGCTGTTTCTTCAAAGTATTCCACATATACATTTACCCTAGCCAAAAGTAACATCAAACACAAGCCCCCTTCCTGTCAATAATTATGCACAAATCCAATTGTGAATATGTTGTTTCTTCTTAAAATGTCAATTTCTCCATTAGGCTATCTGTTGGAATGTTCTCCAAGAGAAAGAAGTTCAATTTCAGTTTATTTAAAATCACAGATATAGACTTATCCATGGAAACTTAAGTGAACAAGCTTACAATGTCCAAACTAACCACTGGATGAATGGGACCATATTTAATTGCTTCCAGAAACAGAGCAGACTTCTATACATGGAACAGAGACTACTCATTTTTAGGTTAACAATATCAACAAAGACTTTGCTCAATGGGTTATGTACAGAGCCTCAGCAACTTACATTGAGTCAGTTGTTTGTATTCATGAAGTAAACCCTATTCTTGTTTAGGATCTGTGACAACTTTCTCTCACTTTTCAGTATTGAAGCCATCTTTAAACTGCAATAGCTATTATCCCTAAATAGTTTTTCCAATTATTCTAAGTATTTCAACTTTTCTGATGTGTTACCCTTGCTTTTTTTATCATATGATGATACTGGTATCACTCTACAGTGTTCTGATAACCATTTTCTCTTTTCTTGTAATGTTTAATGTGGAGGTTTGGCTTTCACTAGTGCCTGTCTCAGTTTATATCTCAATTCATCAGCTTGTATGTTAGGCTGCATTCTCAGTTGGGGCTATCATATCTAAGTATCTTGAATGTACAATACTGTGCAGGAAAATATTTAAAATTACTTCATTTTAAACCATAGTTCAAAATCTGTTATGTCCATGCTCTGTGTCTGTTCTTACCTTTCAACCTCTATGAGTTCAATATTTAAAATTCTCAAAATTCCTGAGAAGGTTACCAGCTACAGCAGATATCTGGACACAACAGCCAAAATAGCATTATAAACATCAAGATGAAGACATTTGTCAAAGTAAATCAGTATATAATAATGATAATTACTTATTGAAAAAAATTTAAGCAATTTTTAGTCTGAATTTTCTTCAAATACTGTGATTGTATCCAATGGAGATTAGTTAATACACTGATATGCTGAAAGTTATGAGATAATAGTATGGAAAGGAAATAGTAGATGGTGACACCTTACCTAGACATCATCAAAATGCTCAGACTTATACCAATTGTGTTCTGACATCTGGTGAGTCAGTGTGTATTCTGGCTAGGCAGCTCAATACAAGGAAACATGAATTATCAGAATTCAAAACAAGGCATGATTGTAGGGGTTGTGGATAACTATCAAGATGGTGTGGCTCAACATTTCTCTAAAGATCTTCCAACCACTTGTGGAATTGTTGTGTTGAAAATAAGCAGACCAATACCAAAAAAAATCCTTGACTAGAGTGTGACTAGTGTAAGTAAGATGTGTTCTCTTAAATAATTGGCTGTTTGAATAAAACAATCTCACAACATATCCAATGTGTAGAAAACCCAAACAGTTGCAAATATGAATAGTGCTCCCAACTGTCAGCAACAACTGACCTACCTCCTGAAACTAAAAATCATATGTCTTATATATTTTAACCACAGCCATTGATTGGCTATGATCCATGACCAAAATGATAATGACATGCCTAACTAAATGGTGATGCTTGGTCATCAACAAATCATAGCCTATATGTGCTAGCAATGTGGAACAAGTTGAAAATGCTTTTAAGCAGTTCATCAACTCCTGTAACCCTTGTTTTTATCATGAGAGAATAAATTCACTGCTGGATTGATGTCAACATTATGTTAATTCTAATTGTGCTTACTTTGATTTATAAAGTTGTATTTGAGCCAAGTTATGATGTTTTAATGTTTGTGGTTCAAAATAGCCACTTTTATTTTGTTACACTATGATACTGAATGGCGAAAACAGATTCAGTTTACTTTTGGTTCCCTGCAATAACACCTTTAGATTTTTTAAAAATTATTATAATCCCAAATCATTTCTACAAGGGAATGCTGAACATTTTTAGTCCAATCAAAAAACACTTAAAAAAAAAAAAGAAGAAAAAAGCACACTTGATCTTTGATCATTTGGTCATGTGTTTGGAAGTGGGCCAAGCCAATAACTTTCCAGCACTCTCTCATAATTTATACATTATAAATTATTATATTAATAATAATACAACTAATAAAAGATATGTTAAAATTACAAGGATTTAATGTATTTTTAGGCTAGAAGAACTACTAAAAAGTGCTCAATAGATAACCACAGTTCAATAAATCAATAACAGTTCAACAAACTTTTATTAATTTATTGAACATTTTGTTATATACTGCATGTGGTTTGAAAGAGAACAAAAGGAAACAAAAAATTAGTACTGATGAGGTGGAAAGTAAAAGAGAGAAGATATGTTAAAATGAGACTCTCTGTATTGCTGGTATAAAGGATCAAGGCAGAATGGTAAATGAGAAATGTAACAAGATGAAAAAATTGTCTCATGTCATAAATAAATAAACAAATAAAGGATGTTTCCTTTTTAGTAATTAATATTAAAAATACATTAGAGTCTTAATTTTTGTATTTTGATAATCCACTTTTATATTCATTTCTAATACTTATACACAATGTTCAGCATATACTATAATAATAAAAATCTTTTCTGCAGTTGTGAGTAATCCAATAATCAAGCTGAAAATATATAATGCTTACAAAAATCAAATCTTGCACTTTAGAAAACTGAAAAGAGGTAGTTATTATTAAAAAAAATCTAAATTAACAAACCCATTTTTTTTTACTGAAAGTTTAAATGAAGCAGAAGTGTAACTACCTTGTATACTCCTCACTAAGTTTGCTTGGGTCAGATACATAAAACTTCACACGGAAATAGAATTCATATGTTGGGCCTAAAAAGATAGGGAAAAAATGTAATTATTATTACAAGTAAAAATAAATTTAGATAATAAATAAAATGAGTAAATTGTAAATAAAAGGTAATTGTATTCCTGAACAAGATATCAAACTTAACTGTACTTCCAATAAAAAAAGATTGGAAAGAAAGAAATTGAAAAAAAAATGGATTAATGAATGAGCAATGAATCTAAATTTTTCATTTTGTAAAACCATATAAGTAAGTATGACCATATAAGTAAATCAAGTGAATTCATATAAGAGGACAATTCATTACTTGCAAGGTATTTGTGTAAAATTGCAAGATTTAGAAGAGAAAACAGAAAAATAAAGAACATTAAAAATGAGAAGAAATGAAGAAGCATGAGAAATAATTAAGCAGATAAAAAGAAAAATTTTATATAATAATAAGGGGAAAATTTAAATATTCTGACCTCGACATTGTTTCTTGATAGTTTTTAAAGGATCAACCCATCGCTGAAATAAAAACAAGAAAATGATTATTTAGAAGTTTAATATGAGTTCAGTAAATGGAGAAAACATTTTAAATATGCAATTTTTTTCTAAATATTTGCTGAAATGAATGTCAAATTAATATTTATTAAAATGACAGAGTAAAAATAAAGCTAATACTGCATATTGTACATGAGAATTTATTAGATCACACACTAATATAGTTTGAAATGTTTAAACGTGGAAGGAAAAATTTTATAGTTTAAAGAGTTCATTTTTTAAAATTGGATGTCTTTAAACATTTTGAATTTTGTAAAATAAAAATGTTATATACAGATTGAGAAAAATTAGGATAACAAGAAGTTGCAATGTCCATAAGTTACTGATTTGTTAATGTTTGTCAATTATAAATTAGTTACTGCTTTTAAACAGATATGCAATTTATTTTAGTTTAGGATAGCACCTACCAATAATGCGGCTAAAAAGGAAAATAATTACTTCCAAGTTGAAACAAGCTATTGATGTGTCTATTACAAAGAATCCAGCTCTCTTTGTATAGTCCTGTTGTCAGATACCTTAATAAAAGTTCTTGTGAGTAGCAAATTACAATAGTTGGAGTGGATGAGGGAGTACTTGGATAAAAATCTTTCACAAAACTATAGAGTCCAATCAATAACAGTTAAAATCCAGTAATATAATATTAATTACATCTAGTTCTAGTGATTCTTCTTGTTTTAGGAGAAAATTTATATTATTAAGAAGCAACAGATATAGATTTAATTCCAAATAGAGTCACTGAAATAATTATAATAAATATACAAAGCTTATCTTAAAGACTGTAATATTATGCAGATGGAAGACTTGATTTTAACAATGGAAACAATAAAACTTCACTATCATAGCAGCACTAGAAATATTACTATACTATTATGAAAGATTTGTCTAAAATTGAAAAAGAAAATGTAACTTAAAAAAATTTCAATGATCACTTCCATCCAACTTTTCTGGAATTTCATATTTATTAGTATTCTAAGTATTTCTATATATGTCCTAGTAATACCTTAGATGATCCAAGACCAAAAATATCTTCTAAAAACTGAATGCATTTAATCATGAAACATTTTAAAAAACCTTTTTAAAAAAATCATTATTTCAAAGAACAGAGCAATATTTTCATAAAGATATGCAAAACAAAAAAAACCTCTTGATTATACATTGTTGCCTACAAACTAATAGATATTAGCAAACTTTTCTCTTAGTGATCATCATACTGGTTAACATTTATAGCATTTTTTAATAAAATCAAATTTATTTTAAGTTATCCATCTACTTCCAACTTTATATTATATTCCTTTTAAAATGTGCTAATTAAAAATAATTTAATCAAACGGGAAATTTTAAAAATAAACTTTTATTCCTACATGTTTAACATTAAAATTTTCATTTTCATCTTGAAAGAAATCATTAGTAATTTTTGGTAAAGGGTTTAATGATGGCATATATGCCATGCAACAACAGCAGAAAATTGCATACCTCTCTAAAAGAAACTTATGTACCAGCTATGTAGACCTCACAACAACATATGACCATATCTATTCATTATCTCATCCATTAGAAAACAATCTTCCAAGCTCTGACTCCACTGAATATCTGACTGAGAAACTGTCCACAAAGTTATACATGTCAGGTGAAGACCCAAAAAATCATTTTAAACCTCATCAGGAATATGATAAGGAGGAAATGAGAGCCCTAATCTATTTAATCTCTTCTCAAATTATAGTTATATACAATCACAAATTATTTAAGTATAACATACCATGTCCAAATGAATCTACTGATACAAAACAGTGTTCCTGTTTTCCCTCCCCAGGCCAGTGTATTGATGATGAAGAGAGTTATGCTGATGACATAGGTATTAATAGGAATAAGAATGTTCTTGAACAAAAAAAAAAAAAAAAATCAACATTCAATTGTTCCAAGATTCCAAAAAATAAGATTTAAGATAAACTAATACAAAGCAGAAACTATGATCTAGAATTGGAATGAAAGCAGCAATAGCACAGACAGAATTCATTGTAAAAATTCAGGATGTAATATTAAAAAATACTTAATACTTCAAATACCTCAGTGTATAGATCAGTTATAACAAATTTAGTATAGGAGACAAGGAAATTGAATATAGCTTTTATTAGAGGTAGTTTTGTCCAATACCACAACTTGCTACAAAATCAACTAACCATGCTTAAATAGATCAAGACTTTCATATGGCTGCCATGCAAAGCCCCAAACTTGTTATGATATTTCAAGTAGGGATTGCAGTTGTATAAAGTCAGTGTTGGTTCTATAGTTCAAGTACCACTGCCACTAGCTTATGTAGTGAACCTATACATAGTGTCTACACATATACATATGTTAATTAGTGACAGCACTAACCAACCACTACTACATTTCCCTGAGGCAAATAGGCTTTATTCTATTTGTTGATCTCATGCTTCTTCCTCTATTTTGATTTCCTTCTCTCCATCTCTCTATATTTGTGTGTATTTTTTTCTATAGGGGAACTAGATCTGTCTCTTTTGTTGGTGAAGTCTCATTCTTTACAACTGATGCTTGAATCATCCAAACTGTGCTGGTTTTCCATTGACTCATCATCAGTCTTTTCCTAAACTGAACTTGCTTTCTGGCTCAATTTCCTGTTGGTTTATAAGGACTTGCTGAATTTCCATTTCTCCTTTGTAAGCTTGTTTAGATATTTGCTCTGCATGGGTAAGAATATTATTACTGTTCTGAAATATTAATGCTATATTGTGTCCTTTCTGCATTATAAAATTCACCCTTTCTGGTACAGATTATCTATTTTTCTTATACCACATTTTTTCATTAATGGAGCATGACATGGTTAATGGTGCCCTAATCTGTCTCCCTATTAATGCAGACAAACTTTTTAATCTGTTAGCATGTGGTATATTTCTGTAACTATGTAATAATCTTCTGGGTAAGAAACTATCAATCTCATCTTGTTGAGGAGAAAATGCTCTCAATCCCATTTTTATAGTCTGTAACATTCTTTCTACAATTCCATTTGATTGCTGATATGGTGGGGTTTTATATGGGATACATCCAATTTTCCTTAATTAAGAACACAGACTTTAGTCACAAAATTCTAGGGCATTATCTGATATTAATGCTTTTGGTACTCCATTCCTAGCAAATATTACGTGTAATATTTGTCTTAATTTACTAGTTTTCCTATCATGAATGCAAACAAATTCAGGCCAACCAGGAAAGGAATCAACTGAAACAGAGCACAATCCCACACCATTAATGTGTGAATGGTTCATATGAACATGAGACCAAAGCCATGTGTGTACTTTATTATGGCGAAAAAGTTTTATTTCACCAGATTTTGGGCATTTTCAGTGTCATAACATGAATATCCTGACTGCCATGATTCTAATTTCAAATGCTTCTGTGTAACTGTAATTGTACAATACACATCATCATGTATACTTTTTATTATAACTTTTCTACATTTTTCAGGTAGTACTACTAAATCTCCATTACATACAATACCATTTTCTACAGTTAACTTATGTCTAATTTCTTTGTATGGTCTTTCAGCTTTTGAACAATTATTCCATTTACTAGTTTTTATTCTAGATGCAGTTTTACTTAATATTGGATCCTGTAATGTTTCAGAGGCAAGTCAGTTTATTGGTAGTATGTCAATTGCTATCCAGTGCAAAAATTCATCTTCCATATTTTCTGTCTTTTTGTTTCCTTCTAAAATGCAATCTGGAAATGTATCTACATGCAGAATAGTATTTCCTTTTTACATATTCGATACCAAAATCAAAATCTTTATGATCCTTCTTAATATTCTGGAACATCTAACTTTTGGCAATTCTTTCCTTGGGTTAAAATGAATTCTAGGGTCATATGATCAGACTTCAACAAGAATTTCCTGCTTATAAAAAATTGTTGAAACCTATTAATGCTGCAAACTATAGCTAGAGCCTCTTTTTCTCTATTTGAGTAATTAGATTCAGATGATGTTAATGCTCTAGAAAAATACATAACTGGGTGTCCTTCCTGAGCTAAGATTGCTGATATGGAATTTTTACTAACATCCATAGTAACATTGGGGGGGGGGGGGGGTTAAAAAATCTTGAAAAAGGGTTTTGGTTTTGCAAAAGCATTTTTCAAATTATCAAATGCTGTTTGTTGTATATTAGTTCACTTAAATTTTTCATGCAAACACTTCAATTAATTCTGAATATAGTATTTACTATAAAAGCTTGCTAGACCCAAAAGGATTCTAATTTTTTTTATTGGTAGGAAGTGACACCTGTAATATTTTCTGCATCAAACTTGGGTTTGGTAAAATTACATCTTTTGAAATTTGGTATCCAAGATTTCTTCACAATTAAATACACATTTATCTTCATTAATAATCATTCCAGATATCCTTAGTCTATCTAATACCTGGTTGTTTTTTTGTCTCAACTCTTCTTCATTGGTTGCACGCAAACATATATCATCATGATATATTATCAGATTTTTATGTGCCCCTCTTAGAATGTTTTCTATTATTTTCTGAAGGATGGCACTTGCTGTTTTCATCCAATAAGGTATAAGAGGCAGTCTGGTTTAGTGATTTCCTTAAATTTATCATCAATTTCAATTTGATGGTATGTGCTTTTTAGATGAATTTTTGTAAAGCATTTAATTCCTGCTAACGAATGTAATATATTCTCAATGTTTGTGATAGGATAAAAATCCAAACAAATCTTATGGTTTACACTTTTTTTATAGCCACCACAGAATCCAAGATCACCATTTGGCTTTCTCGGAACTACTATAGGTGATGGGGAAACATGTTCCAAAATACCTTGTTCAACCATTTTACATAGTTTTGCAACTATCATGGGTGATAAGTAAATTGGAAGTCTACAAGATTCAAAATATGAGGGATTACATTTTTCTTTCAATTTAACAATTGCTTTATAAACTATTAAGATTCC